GGTGTGGTGAGAATGCAGGGTGTCCGCTGAGCTCACTCTCACTCCCTCTGCTACCCTCCCCCAGGGATGCCAGGGCTCATGCGCCAGGGAAGCCCCTGTGCTCAGGTACTAGGTGCCCTCGAGGGAAACCCCCCCCCACCCCCATACCCGTGCGTCCTCCTCCTGGTGACGCAGGAGCAGTCTGTGAGGCCAGCCGGGAGAGAGTACACTGCCCACCAGGGGGCAGCGCGGAACATGGCGGGCGTCGGCGATGCGGGATGCAGCACCTGGGCTGGGGGCTGGGGGGCAGGGGTGAAGGGGACAGAGGTGTGGTGAGAATGCAGGGTGTCCACTGAGTTTGCTGTCACTCCCCCTGCTACCCTCCCCCTGGATGCCAGGGCTTGTAATTTAATAATGTTACTAACATGTCATTTCTGCCCTTCAAGTCTCATGGGAGCCTTGTGAAGGGAAAAAGCACTGAACTCAGAGTCAGGAGTCAGTGGCAGTCTGTGAGGCCAGCCGGGAGAGAGTACACTGCCTACCTGGCTTCCGTGCAGTGCCGCTGGGCGGTCCATAAGCCCATGCTGCATCCCAGCCTGCTGTGTCGGCAGCACTCACCACATCTCCACATGGGCACTTGGGCACTGTGACTCAGGTAGAGGGGAGTGCGCAGGGGCCCGAGGCCCCAGGCGCTGCCCAGGGCCCAGAGGTCAGCTGGGACCTGCCATTCCACACCAGCCACTTACGCTTTGATCGCCGCCAGGCCTAGGAACCACACCCATGCACAAATTTTGTGCACTGGGCCTCTATTACAGCGGTCGCCAACCTTTCGGACCTCATGGATCAGCAATGATCCATGGACCATCAGCTGGCAACCACTGCTCTAGTATAAATATATGCTCCCATATGTAAAATGCATTAAGCTATGCTTATTTTTCTAATTAGCTTTAAAATATATATATCATTGATTGGCTGCCTCCTGCACGCCCCCTACTGGGAATCCTGCCCCCAACCCAGGCATGTCCCTTTGACCAGAATTGAACCTGGGACTCTTCAGTCTGCAGGCCAACTCTCTATCCACTGAGCCAAACCAGCTAGGGCCCTAGTTAACTTTTCCAACCATATAAAATATGGTATAGTATTCACAACATATGCAAAACAAACTTTGAATGGAAAAATACTTCTTAAAACATACTGTGTCTGCTTCTGCTAGCATTGGTAGCTTACAAAAAAAAATATGTGGTGGGGGGAAAAATTCATACATCTTAACAAAAAAAAGGTTGAAGAAAATATGAAGAGGGGTGGTATATGGAAACATGAATAAATAGCATTATGCAGCTATATAGTTTTTTTTAAATACGAGCTTATTCAAGTCTTAAAATTAATCAGCATAAAAATGTTGTTCTTTATTTTTCAGGTATACTTCTATGAATACAGTGAATTTTCAGAACCAGTAGATAAACCTAGGCAGTGTCTTCCATATGCAATAGTCACAGTAAAATTTATTGGTCAAAAAGTAGGTAATGGACACCTTATGACATCTTTGAGATTCCTTTCAACAGGATTTCCTAAGAGAGCTGGTAAGATACATATATTATTCTGCTTCAGTAGTTAGTATTTGTGCTGGTCTTACAACTTTTGGATATTATATTTTAATACATTATGAATCTCTAAGCAAAATAGTTGTTTTGCTTTATTTTCAATTTCTGTATTGCTGAATTTTTGTGGCTTTTGTTCAGTATATTTGTGTGATTCTTCCATGTTGATGTATATCTGTAGTATTTTCATTCAGATGTGTACATACACACATTATTCCATTTTCTGACTATACATTATTCCTCTGGGGATATTTAGACACTTTCTAGTTCTATTCATATTCCAGACATTGCTATTTTAAACATTCATGTTAAGAGTCTCAGTGCATATATGTGCAAGAGATTTTCTGTAGAGTATATAAAACCACATCAGGAATTTGCAAGGTAATTCAAAGACGATGTCAGTTTTCAAAAGTGGTTGCATCAGGTTACACATTTACATCCTTGCCAATACATATACCTAAAAAAAGTTTGTTTCTGCTAGCCTACTGATTGTGATATGTTATTACTATCACCTCTAAAAGAAACACTGTGCCCTTTAAAAGCTATCATGTCCCTTTCCCTTCATTCCCTCTACCCATAAGCAATCACTAATTTGCTTCTGTCTATATATATATTTGTCTTTCTGGCATTTTATGTAAGTGAAGTTAAATATGTAGCCTTTTGTGACTGGTGATTTTCACTTACCAGTGTTTTTCCAAGTTCTTGCATGTTGTATGTATCAGTACTTCATTCCTTTTTATGCAATAATGTCCCATTGTATAAATATACTACATTACATTTATCCATTCATCAGCTGATAGACTTTTGGGTTATTTCCATTCTTTGACAATTATGAATAATTCTGCTGTGAACGTTCTTGTACAAGTTTTGGTGTAGACCAATGTTTTCATTTATTTTGGGTATATAGCTAAGGAGTGAAATTGCTGGGTCATATGGTACTCTGTATTAACCACTTGAGAAATTGCTATACTCTTTTCCAAATTGGCTGCACCATTTACATTCACACCAGCAGTGTATGAGGGTTAAGGTTTTTCTACTTCCTTGTTAAAACATACTATTATCTGACTTTTTAAAAATATTTTTATTGATTTCAGAGAGGAAGGGAAAGGGAGAGAGAGAAACATCAATGATGAGAGAGAATCATTGATTGGCTGCCTCCTGCACACTCGCTATTGGGGATTGAGCCCACAAACAAGGCATGTGTCCTTGACCAGAATCAAACCCGGGACCCTTCAGTCTGCAGACTGACGCTGGTGTAACTTATCCACTGAGCCAAACTGAGTAGGGCCATTATCTCCTTTTTTAAAATTACAGCCATTCGAAATGGGTCTAAAGTGAAGTTTTCAGGGTTAAATTTTACGCTCTTATTGAATTTATTCCTAAGTATTTTATACTTTTTTATCCTGTTGTAAATAGAATTATTTTCTTAGATTCATTTTTGTATTGTTCATTGTAGGTATATAGAAATACTGTTGATTTTTGTGTGTCCTTCAACCTTGTTTATTTCAATATTCGTTCTAGGAGGTTTTAGTGGTTTATTTATACAAGGTCAGGCCGTCAGCAAATAGAGATGGTTTTACTTCTTTCTTTCCAATTGGATGACTTTTATTTCTTTTTCTTGCCTAATGGATTGCCAGTGTTATGTTTAATAGAAGTTCCTGTCTTGTTCCAGAATTTGGAGGTAACGCTTCCATCTTCCACTGGTATGATGTTAGCTATGAGGCTTTTTTATGCCCTGTATCATGTTGAGCAAGGTCCCTTCTTATTCCTAGTTGTCAAGTGTCTTTATCATAAAAGGGTGTTGGATTTTTTCAGATGCTTTTGCTGGGTCTTATTGAGATGATCATGTTTTTGTTCTTCACCCTGTTGCTGTAGTATATCACAGTAACTGATTTTCAGATATTAAGCAGATCTTGCATTCCTGGGGTAAATCCATTTAGTACTCTAGGTATAGCATTTTACATGTTGCTGGAATCAAATTGCTGTTCATTTGTTGACCTTTGTGTCCGTATTCATAAGAAATATTGATCTGTAGTTTTCTTGTGATGTCTTTGTCTGGTTTTGGTATGAGAGTAATATTGGTCTCATAGAATGATTTAGAAAGTTTTCCTTCCTCTTCCATTTTTTGGTGAAGAGTTTGTGAAGAATTGGCATTACCCCTTGTTAAAACATTTGTTAGACTTTACTAGTGAAGCCATCTGGGCATGGGCTTTTCCTTATGGATAGTTTTTATTATTATTACTAATTCATTGTCTTCACTTATTGTAGGCCTATTCAGAATTTATGTTTCTTCTTTTATCAGTTTTGGTGGTTTTGTCTTTGTAGGAATTTGTCTATTTAATCTAATGTCTTTTTTTTGTCTAATTTATTGGCATACTGTTGTTCATAGTATTTCTTTTAGTACTTTTTATTTCTGTATGGTCAGTAGTAATAGCCTCTCATTTGTATTCTAATTTGAATCTGTTGTCTGTTTTCTCTTGGTCACTGAAGGTTTGTCAATTTTTTTATCTTTTAAAAGAACCAACTTTTGGTTTCATTGATTTTTTTTTTCTTTTGCTGATTTCCTCTCTAATCTGTATTTGTTTTCTTCCATTTGCTTTAGGTTTAGTTTGCTCTTCTTTTTCTGGTGTCTTAAGGTAGAAGGTTAGGGTACTGATTTGAAATCTTCTTTGACTGTGTATTTATAGCTATAAATTTACTATAAGTACTGTTTTAGCTGCATTCCATATGTTTTGGTATGTTGTGTCTTTATTTTCATTTATCAGAAAGTATTTTCTAACATCCCTTTTGATTTCTTATTTAACCCAAATGCTTTTTAGAAGTATGTGGTTTAACTTCTGTGTATACATAAATTTCCCTTTTTTTTCTGTTGATTTCTAATTTCATTCCATTGTGGTTAGAGAATACAGTTTGTATTATTGTATTGTTTTACATTTTTCTGAGGTTTGTTTTGTACCCTAGCAGATGGTCTATTTCGGAGAATGTTCACTTAAGAAGAATGGATATTTTGCTGTTGTTGGATAGTGTCCTGTACATGTCTGTTAGGATTGTTTGGTTTATAGTTTGCTCAGTTTTCTAGGTGATCTTCTGCCTAGTCATTCTGTTCACATTGTCCCTCAGTTATAAGGCTTAAAATTGAGACAATAATTATCTTTCCCCTACCTCTACTCCAGCCCATCCATAGTCTTACAGCTTATCCTATATAATAAAGAACTAATATGCTAATTAGACCAAACAGTAGAACCACCATCAGGACGACCGGCCAGACGAAGCCAGGGCTGCGAGGGCCAGCCGAGACTGTGAGAAGCTGTGAGGGCCAAGCCCCTTGCACAAATTTCGTGCATTGGGCCTCTAGCTACTTTAATAAAGGAAGATATCTGTCAGGATGATAAACTTTGAGGAATACCTGTACTAAGCCCAAATTCAAGGCTGTATGTGTTGGTCATCACCATACTCCTCCCCCTCTAGAGCAGTGGTTGCCAACCTTTTGGATCTCGTGGATCACCAGTGGTCTGCAGACGACCAGTTGGCGACCACTGCTCTGGAGTACTCTAGACTTTTGCCATCCTGTACAGTAGCCCTTAGTTACACGTGGCTATTAAAATTGAAGTTAGTTAAAATTAATTAAGATTTTAATTTCTCAGTTACACCAGGCATAACTGAGACATATTTCAAGTGTTCAGTAACCACATGTGTTTATTGGCTAAAATAATGGATAGCACTGATAAAGAACAGTTCCATCATCACAGAATATACGGTACTAATAACTATTTGGTAGTTTACTTCATTGATTGTAATTTCATTTTGTTAGTTTCTTATATTATTGAAGATGTTGAGTTTGTTCATTTTTCATGTGTTAGTGAGAATTCCAAAAATAATACAATTTAAATGACTTTAAGTTTAAACAACTAGCAATTAAAGCTCTACTGCTTATAAACTGTGATCTTGGGCAAATCACTTTAAATTTCACTTCCTCACCATTAACATAGAAATGCTGTGAAGATTAAATGAATGAATGTGCATAAAGACTTAGAAAAACCATACTTGGCATTAATCACTTTGTAAGTTACTAACATTATGTATATGTTAATATACATTTCGCATACATTAAGAAATTGAGATCATTATTGAGAAATTGAATCTTGTGATTAGGTTTCTTTTCCCATGTTGGTTTGTATTAATCTATCTTATATTTTTTATTTTACTTTTCAATTACACTTTACATTAATATTATTTTAAAACTAGAGGCTTGGTGCACAGATTTGTGCACTGGTGGGGATGTGGCCTGCGGGGATCAGCCCACTGTGGGTGCACCACTCATCCTGGTCAGCCGAGTGGCTGTGAACCCGCCCTCTGAGCAGCTGCTGAATGAGGAAATTAGTCTGACCTGCTATTTCAGGGTAATGTCTTGGGTAAAGGTGTGTTCTGTGTCCTGGAGGAACCTGGCGAAGAGCTTTGCACCCTAAAGCCACTCGGTAAATGTCCTTGATGTGTGATGCCAGGACGGTGACACCATTGGGGATGTTCAGGACAGCTGTGCTCCAGGATCCTCAGCCAACAGGACAGCCTCCCAGGGGGGTCCACAGTCATGTCCCCTCATGCCATCTACCTATGCCAGCTCCCTGTGCTCTTCCTAGAACACACCTTAGAGGGCCTGCATCAGCTGGTGGGGTCAGGCCAGAGTCTGGATTATCTCAGGTTATTTGATATGTGCAGATACTTGTCCTCACCCTGGACCTACTAGCGGCTGCTCCCACTGTGGGGGAAGCTCCTGAATTGAATGTCTGCCTCCTGGTGGTTAGTGCGTGTCATAGCAACTTGTCAACCAGTCATTCTGGTCCTTCTGCCGTTTGGTCACTGGGCTTTTATATATATAGGTAGACTAGAGGCCCCAAATTTGTGCACAGGTAGGATCCCTAGGCCTGGCCAGCAATCGGCCAATCTGTGGGGTGACTGGCAGGGCAATCGGGGGGCCCTGCTGG